GGATTCCAGAAAGTGAACTGGCCAGAACCTCCTATACCATGGCATAATAAGACAGTATATGAACTCATCAGCAGTACCAGAGAGCCTGGGAGCAAGTAACTATGGACATGAGAAGTGTCCCGAAAAGAAGATCACCTAAAGATCAGGAAACCTGGCAACAACTGTCGATAAAGAGACCAAGAGGACATGGCACAAATAAGGCTAGGTCGTGTCGCACAAAACCAACTAAGGACGGCTAAGGTGAACAGATACTCAACAAAGTCGGATGTGTCGGTCGAAAGGCAGTTATCGCAGCTATGTTGTAAACAAGCACAATGCAATCACATCACTTGGATGAATAATCAAGAAGAAGCAGAAGAATGAAGGTGGTGGTTAAACAACAGCCCTACACCAGTCAACAAGGCACTCAGAGAAAAACAGCACATTTGACAGTGGTAATATTCTATTTGTAGATGTCAGAATGTTGTTTGACTTTAGTAAATGTCCTACTCTAGCATTAATGAGTATTCTAATCTGTCAGGCACGTAAAGTTATTGATAAATAATTCTTAGTGGTATTTTTGGTTTGTTTAGAGTACAGCCCTGACTATAAAAACTAACAGTAATCATGAAGATAAAACAGCACTGACAAACCCGAAGCTCCATCCCACACTGTTTCATTTTCTACCACACACAAAAATGATCATACCACCAAAGGGTTTTTAATTCATTACTACTGATTGATGTCCACATGGGAGTGTTTGCAAGCCAAGGTATAAAGCCCATTTGCACCTCTGTGGTCATGTGAGCCTCGTCCAGAGTGGTACTAGCATTAAAAGAGAGAGTCATCAGAATCTCACTAGCCATTCCTTAGTCGAAACACTGTGTAGCGGCTAGACTATCGCCAGGGGATCTGAAAGTTGTGGGTTCAATTCTGCACCAAGATGGATGTTTTTCACACATGATCTTGGTTCCCAGGCAGATCTAGCCTTAAAAAAGTACCAGAAAAGTCCTGGGAAGTAAAGGGGCTCAATGTGATGCTGACCCCATCACTCACACAGTGCCAACTGGTCTATAAGTCAAGCCTCACATGCCTGTTGAGCCAGTGGCATGTAAAGGGACCATATCTTCCCTGTCCATTCACCAGCCTGGAACTGTGTAACTCAACTGGAGTCGATCTCAGGTCTCCACTGCCTGCACTATTTGCTCACAAATTTAAGAATTTTTTTTAT